GATAACCTTTTTTCTTACCTATATTTGATTGTTGAATGAACTATTCCAAAAACTAAATATTATTTGAAATCAGATTAAAATAGTGAAAACTTATAAAAACTAAATATGACTGAAAACTTATTTTTTATGAAAATTAAATATTTTTCAAAATCAATTTAAAATTGTGATAGGCGATCATAAGATATGAATACTAGTACATAGTTGTATGAGAACGAGAGGCACGACGTGAGCATAAAATCACCCGCCTAAACTAACTGAATATTACATATACGAGTTACATTTCACTATAGTTGAGCTGAATCGAAGCATAGTTTTGTTTAGTTTGTTAGGGTTAATGCTTTCCTAGGGTTAAGGCTTCCCACTCTTAAGGTTTAATTCATTTTAAAATTTGCAAAAASAAATACGAGTTAYATTTCACTATAGCTGAGAATAAATTATATGAAAAGGATAAGTGCGATGTGAGCATAAAACCACCAAAAACTAACAGAACACTACATATACAAGCTAGATTTCACTATAACTGAGCTGATCGAACCATAGTTTTGTTTAGTTTGTTAGGATTAATGCTTCCAACGTAACTCCTTAAATAAGTGAATTTGAATGATATGATATCATTCATGCTTATATATACCATTTCTTACCTTTGTAAACTTAATCATCGATTGTTCTCTTTCTCTTTCACATGTAGAGAAATCAATCCTTCTTATTAAATTTGCTTCATACGTATGTTTCTCTTTTTTATATTTATTTTCTTTGTGCAGATTCACATTGATTAATGTTTTTCTATCATATGACTTTGATCATCGTGCTCATGAGAAGTTGAACTTCTCTAAATCACTTTGATCCTTTTTTTTTTATGTTCGACGATTTGGTCTAACTTTGGTTTTTATGTTTTCTAGATTTCATAGTTTAATTAACTCGACCTTAAGAAAATATGATTTTTGTATTCGATTTGGTTTCAAAGTTGATGATTGCAGTTCTCGGCTTGGTGCGGTGTTTGATGATAAGACGCACTTTGCTAATGATAGATTCTTGGTGGAATCCCACTCCGACCCTTTGATTATCATCACGTACCGTGAGCCGCAAGCTTGGTACAAAAAAAAAAAGTATTAGGCGCTGCTTTCTCTTTACATCACCCAACACTACAAAACAAAACAAAACTTTTCCTCCGAGGAAGTTAGTAAATTTCTAGATCTTCACATTAATATATTAATTTTATTATAAAAATGGCATGATGGTTTCTGATAATTTGCTTTTATTCGTTTGACTAATGTCTATACAAACTACATTATGTTACATGTATAATATACAAACTACAAAATGGCATGATGATTGCGTGGATACTACACTAGTTAGTTTTGAATTGGAAATCCATGAAACGTAACAAAAAAAGACCTTGAATATAATTTAAGACCTTGTAATAATTTATTCATTATTGGCTAACGATCTAATCTTCGAATATATTTTCAATCTAATCGAATATAAAAGTAACTGGAAATAAGATTAACAAAGTCTTATAAGAAGACAATATAATTAAATTATTAAAAACAAATCTTATACTATATTATGATCATCTATTACTTATTCTGCATCGGTACGTAAATAATTCAGAACTATTTGGCCGACGCAAACGTGATCGTGAGGAAGCCGAAGTTGATACTCTTTGATGTGTAATCCCCCAAACGAAACAGAATGGATCCCTCATATTTACGTCTCCGGTAGTCGAGTCTGTCGTCAACCAGATTTGGGCCTTCCTCCGCCTCGAAACGCACGTGGTAAGGTGGTATTCGATGACCTTGAGCTCGCAGCATCCGGGAATATCAATTTATACAACGATCGCGTCCTTAGTGACGGTCGTCTCATACATCTTAGAAACTGCCGCGTCTAATAGATGGATTCGTTGCTGCCTGCAACATAACAAAACAAGGAAACCAAAATATTTTTCCTTTCAATTTCTCTACAATTTTACCATTTAGGTAAAATTTGTTTTCCTCCAAATTTTAGTGGATCCTATCAAATGAAAGGAAAATAAGTGAGATTCCTCTAGATTTGTTACTCCTCAAAATAGGAGAGTAACACCGTGAAAAAAAAAGCTAGTGGAATAAATGCTAGTTCTA